GAGCTTGCTCACGCTGGGCCGCGTCATAAATGCACTAGTGGAACATTCTACTCATATACCTTACAGGTACTTCCTGATATATGTAGACTTTATTTAAACAGTTGGTGGTTCACTATCTTTCTTTCTGTTTTCTATATGTTTAATCTAATGTGCCGACTCTTTTTGCAGGGACAGTAAGCTTACAAGACTTTTAAGAGATTCTTTGGGAGGGAAAACAAAAACCTGCATCATTGCCACAATTTCTCCAACTGCTTCATGCATGGAGGAAACTCTAAGCACACTGGATTACGCCTATCGTGCCAAGAACATTAAAAACAAACCCGAGGTTTGTCTCTTTCAGTCTTTTGTTTCTTGAAATGTATTGTTCTATGTGATCTCTATGATGATGATGGAGTTTATTCGTGCAGGCAAACCAGAAAATGTCAAAGCCTGTGCTGCTTAAGGAATTGTATTCAGAGATTGAGAGAATGAAAGAAGGTTGGATGACAATTGCATAACCTTGTTTTGGTGATTAATTTTATTTTAACCTGTTCAAAGCTGAATGCAGATATCCGAGCGGCACGGGAAAAGAATGGTGTTTATATTCCACATGAACGATTTGTCCAGGATGAAGCTGAAAAAAAGGTGGACCTTCTTTAAGCTCTATACATACAGTTTGAATAAAGTTCCCTTTTGCATTTGTACTAATGTGTACATCGTTTAAAATGTGAAAACTTTGCAGGCTAGGATCGAGAGAATAGAGCAATTGGAGAATGACCTCAACCTCACAGAAAAGGTATATTTTGCTTTCTCCTCAGTTAATTATTCTTCCATGTTATCTTAGTCATCAAACTCACTTCTCCTTTCAGCAAGCGGATCGTTTTCATGAGCTCTATATCAGTGAACAAGAACAGAAGCTGGATTTACAAAGTGAGCTCAAGGACTGCAAGGTTTGCATCATATACCTTCATTATTGCTCAACTCATTGTCAGTTTATGCATCTTATCAGGAATTTGATTTTGTCTATTTCAGATAAATCTGGATAACTGTAACAAGGCTCTGCTTGAACTTCAAGAGGATTACCAAATAGCCACCTCCACCCTGAAAGAGAAGGAGCGTATCATCTCCAAATTGCTATTCTCAGGTAAGGAAATTGAGATATTATTGAGAAATTTTGTAACTCTTTTCTCATATTTGTTGAAAAACTCTCTTTATTTGAAATAATGGCGGCATGTCTTTATATCAGAAAATCTTTTGATTGGACGGGCAAAGGAGTTGCGCAGTGATTTGAAGAATGCATCAGAGGAAATGAATTCCCTCTATGAAAAATTAGGTATGGTTAATGAACTTCAGTATGCAAGGTCATAAGCATGCCCCATGCAGAAAAGTAACTTGTGTCCTGCATTTTTGGTAATTGGCAAATGATTAATGATTATTGTAGTTTTATTTACTTTTCTGGCTGAACAGAATACATTTGAAAAGAAAAGATGATTATTGTAGTTTTATTTTACATGTCATCCAAAATCCTTTCTCGTGAACTACACGCAAGTCAAGTGCTTTTTTCTTTCTGCAGATAAGAAAGACAAGATGGAAGCAGAAAATCAGAGCTTGGTTATGACATTTGGTTCTCAGCTTGATCGGAGTTTGAAAGACCTGCATAAGACCATCCTAGGGTCTGTTTCTCAACAGCAGTATCAACTAAGATGCATGGAGGAACATGTTCAGTCATACCTTGCGAGTAAATGTGATGTAAGAGAGACTTGGTTATGTCATGTACTATAGATTTACTATAGTTATCTGTTTATTAAAACTATTGCTATTACCAGGCAGCACAGGTGCTGGAATCCAGGATTAAGAAGATAACAGAGACATATAGTGCTGGAGTAACAGCCTTGAAGGAGCTGGCCGCCATGCTGCAAAAGAAAGCATCATCTGACCTGGAGCAAATAAATGCTAAGACGTTATCACAGACAGTGGCTGTTGAGAAGGTATCTTGTCAAAGAGTTTCATATACCATTCATAGAATGTTCTTGATTTATTAGCTGAGCGTGGTACAAATGTTTGTCTTTATAGTTTCTTGAAACTGCGGTTAAGGAAGCCAACGAGGTCATCCAAGATGTTCAGCACTCTCTTGATGAGCAGAAACAGCTATTGGCTTTCTCCGCTCAACAACAAGAGGAGGTAGGTTTAATTCATACTTGTTATAATTTGCACTTGAAAATGATTAGAGGTTCTTAATCTTTGAGTAAAACTGTAGGGATTGCAAAGAAGCTTGATGTCAGCACAAGTAATTTCGAAGGCCACTGGGAACTTTTTTGATGACCTCCAGGACCGCACTTGTCAAGTCATGAGAAATCTTGAAGAAACCCAAATTCAACGAGTCAACCAATTGGTGAATTTTGAGAAAATGTTTAAGGTAAGTAAACCCGAAATCTACAGGTGTGTTTTGATAAGATGGTATAAGAATGACCGATGAACATTCATTGCTTTGAAACAGGAAGAAGCTTCTAGAGAGGAAAAACAGGCTATGGAAAAAATTGCAATAATAATTGGAACATTGACATCTAAAAAAGCCTCTATGGTAAGTATTTGATTTTATTTGTCACTTGAATGAGTAGTTCGTAGGTATTTTTGTTAATTGACATTTAGGAAAAAAATATTAGGTATCGGAGGCATCAACCGACATCCAGGAAAAGAGTAAAGAAGAGAACACCAGGTTGCAAAAGGCAATGTTTAACATGCAAAAAGTGGCAACGGATGCTAGGAAGGAGTTGAGCAAATATTTCGGAAAGGTGGAATGTGATTTTATGAAAGACACATTCTCAGCAGTTGAATCTCAGGCAATCATGGAAAACTGCATCCAAGAGTGGTAAGTTTATTCATTTTCTTCTCAAATTTTATTTTTAACCTTGAAACAAATCTGAAAATATAGTGCAAAAAGATTGTATCCTCTGTTTGTGTAGGAAAAGAGAGCGCACAAGATTCTAATATTGCAGCACCCTATGCAACGTTGAGCATGCATAACGTGCTGCAAGGGGTTTCCCCCTATCAATTTGTCACTCCATATAACTTTTTCCTTCTCATGGTAAGTGCAGCTCAGAGAGAGTGGGTTACTCTAGCAAACAGTGGGAAAATGCCCAGTCAGCCATAAATACTCTTAATCAGAACAGTGCTGCAAATATCGAATCTACTGTGAAGTGAGTTTCCGTTCTTTCACACATCAAACTTTGTAGTCATAGTTTGTTGTACCATTCCAATGCTCTATTCAAATTTCAATTCCTTGCTTTCAACAGGGAAAATATCTCTGCTAATCATTCTACACATGAAAAGTTTGTTTCTGCATCTTCCCGTGTGGATTCAGATTTCAATGCTTTAGCCACCGACACATTGTCATGCGTTAATGGTAATTTCAATTTACTTATGCGAAAAACTAAGTGCTTCACTCCCTATACAATATAATCCACTCTTCCAATGCCTAACTGGTGATTTGAAAACTTGCAGATTCGCTAATGCTGGACTATGAAAAGACGAAGGAAATAGACTCCGTGACTGCTGTGTGTGTGGATCAACTCAAATCGGCACAAGAAAAGCATGGTGATGGTGTATCAACCATACGAAATCAAGCAGAAAAGTGCCTTGTACAAGATTATTTGGTATGTCGTCACCTAGTATGAATAAGATGTGATTTATTAATAGTACACGGCCAACTTCATTGCATGCCTAATATTATCGCTTGCTGGTATGATTAAACAGGTGGATAAGCATGCCGGTGCAACCAAGAAACCAGTCATAGCTGTCCCCAGCTTGGAATCTATCGAGGAGATGAGAAGCTCCGTCGATGTCAAAGAAGACGGTACATCTGATAACAAATTAAAACGGAGCCAAATGGAAATCAAGATCGCAGGTCCTAGAACTCCTTTCGCGGATGTCAACTGAATTCTGAGTGAAGAATTCAAAGTATCTGCAGTATAATGTTCCATTTCAAAACATCGAAACATGCTCATCAACTGATGAGTTCCGAAAAAGTCCTATGCTGCAGGTGCACGCAGCTCATTCAGAGAGCGATGCATGCCAAGGTCTTCTGCCTCATTTAATATTTAGAAACTAACAAAGAATTCTTGTTGTAATATTTTGTAGTTCCCGTCAATGAAAACATCTACAAGTTTCTCCGACTTCTCTAACTGATTAAAGTAATAATGTTGAAAACCATCTTACGAAAATACCTAGAATTTGTCACCTTGGCATCACAGACTTAACAACACGCCGTGTGTTATAAATTTTTTATAACACGCCTTGTGATTGGTTAGGAATACTGCCACGTTAGTGTCCCTGTTTCATGTTAGTTTTGTTTGCATCTATGGGTAAGAGAAGAAAATCAAAGAAGGAAAACCAATTTAGTCATAAATTCTCATCTTCCTTTGCATTCGGCAGGCATCCCACGCTTTTTTATTTTACTATCTTAAAATAAACAGAGAATATTAGGTGAATTATTAACTCATTTGCCAATTCTTTTCTGCCACTTTGTTTGGTAAGGACCATGCATCATACTTCCTTCTTAAGTACGACGCTTAGTTTAGGTGATTATTCTGTAAATCTCAGTGCTTTTAACAAAAGTGCTTTTCTGACTTCAATTCTTAGAACATCCGAAGTACTCAGAAGCTGCTTCGCAGCTTCCTTCAGAGTTTCATAGACATAGCCGGATAGCCCTTCGCTGACGACTCGCTGCAACAAGTATAACTGGTCCAATTTACCTGCTTTCAAGCCAAAGACTGGCCAACGCTCCCACGGTCAAAATAATATAATATATTACATATATGTATATATGCGTGTGTCTGGCGTGTGTGCACCATATATATACACACACACAAAAAGGTTCAAACTCTGATTACGAGGAAAAACCAAAAAAAACCACCACACTTGCCCGTTTCCTTAACGCGGCACAAGGGCAGAAGAGTCAATTAAGATAAGTAAAAAACCAAACACTAGAAGAAAAATCCTCTATAAATAAAACCACAACTGGATGAGGAGCTTCATCCCTTCACAACATTTTGCATTTCAACATTTTGAGACATTTGCACGTTTGCTTTTGCTTTTGCTTAGACATGAAGAGAGATATGACAAGAGAGGAATTAGGGTTTGGAATTAAGGGTTTGGACATGGCAAAGTGTCTAATGCTATTATCATGCGGCATGCAGACCAAAACATGTTCGTCTTCAAACGATGTGTTCGAGTGCAAGACTTGCAACCGGAAGTTTGCGTCGTTCCAAGCTCTCGGCGGCCATAGAGCGAGCCATAAGAGGCTGAGAACATCGACGAGTCATGATGATGAAGACCGTAAAAATGAACCTGAAAAAGGAAGCGATAAGTTGATGGTGACAAACAAGAAGGCTAAAACACATGAGTGCTCGATATGTGGATCAAAGTTCGGCATGGGACAAGCCTTGGGTGGTCATATGAGGAGGCACAAAGCTTCTAATATGAACATGGTCAGTTTTCCTCATGCTCCTTCAGTTGTTTCGTCGAAGATTCCAGTCTTAACAAGGTCGAATAGTAAAAGAGTTATGAGCTTGGAGATGGATTTGAACTTGACACCATTGGAGAATGACTTGAAGTTATTGTTTGGGAAGATGGCACCAAAAGTTGATGCTTTTGCATCATAATTATTTGATGTACTTGTAACATACCATGGGGACTCACCATTGTATTATTCTCATTAGTTCTAAATTTTATTCGATTATTAATTTTATCAACGTTATTAATTGAATTATCACTTTGATTTTCTTAACTTAATTCTCCTTTTGTTTTTTCAAGTCTTGTCTTTTATTTTACGTACCTAAGTATGATCGTTTAATCTGTCTTTGGTGCGTTTGATTCGTTTACCGATAATTCAAGTGTATCTAATTATGTTAAAAAGAACAGAAAATTGATCGATGAAGAATTCTGTGTATATATGTGGGCTAAGTCCATGCTTGAACCAGAAAAGGATAGGTCAAAGGTCCATTGAAATATAAAGAAGCCTTCGTATGAGCCTTCCGTTGTGGGCTTTCCTTCCACCTTCCTCTAAACAGAAAATTGTACAGTATTTTATTACATGTGATATTCGACAATAATTCATACTAAGGAGAGGAAGGAAGATTTAAACTCAAAACGCAATAAGTTGGAAATGAAGGCTTTTAACAATTAGAGCAATCCACCACTTACAACAATATTTGGCTTCTTTAAGTCTTTACACTTTTTTTTAGCTTGTGAATTGAACAATTTACAAACAATCAAGAACGTATTAAAAAAAGAAGTGCAAAACGCAATAATGAAAATGTGGGAAAACGGTGAATTGTCATGACGATTAAGGCTTTTTTTTAAACCCACTACATATTATGTTCAAAATCTCATCTTCCGTTAACGTAGCTTACTAGCTTTAAATAACAATATCGTTTGTAATAAATAATAATAATAATAATGAAAACGCAGAATTCATTCTCCGTCCAAGAAGACGTCTTGGACGGCAGAACGCACCCAGTTTTATATTGGGCTTTGACCGGCTACTTCCTCCTCATTAAACTTGACATTTGCTCTTTTACCCACCTCCCTAGCCTTCTTATTTGTACATCATTCAAAACTAATTAGGCATGAGGTTACCAGCATTTCTCTTCACTTTTATATGAGAGGTTTTAGATTTGATTCTCACCAAAATACAAATTTGAACCACATTATCACTAACTCTTTGTGATGCTTAATGTAGATAATCTTGTTTGTTCAAAAAAATTTATGCAAGAGGTCAATCATTACATTTTATTCTAAGATATAAATTAATGTTGTGTTGTTACACTTAGTGATGGGTTCATGAATTTTTCTTTTCTTGAAAAAAAATTAATGTCACATGCTAGTTTTTTCATGGCTCCCTACCTATGTTTCGGCCTTATAAGGCATCTTTCGAACATTTTGTTTTAATGGTAGCCACGCTCAAGAAGAACATTTCATGTGTAGCACTGATTTTTTTACCATAATGTTTGGTCTACATTTACAGTGTTATTATATAAGCATTTCGTATGACTTCTATTTCCTAAATCTGTCATTTTAACATGAACCTATCTTGTCCTATGTCTATTATTTTTACAGATTTTGAATCACTTCTCTTTTCTAAATTTTCTTCATCAAATTTGACTCATAACTTATCCTACATCAAACTCCCCACTTGAAAGAAACTCGACCTCAATCATTTTGGATTGAAATAAACAATGAGCAAACATTCATAAAATTTGAAAAGAAAATAAAACTCGAAACTCATGATTCACCTACTTTTCTAAACTCATGCAGCAACACTCAAAACTTTATTTACTTAGAGCATCTCTTATCAAAACTTTAGTTGTTAAGAGCATCTCATGTAGGAGATGCAAAATGCTTTGAAATGTGTGTTTTGCATTTTTTGTTGACCGGAAAACTCTCAAATAGAGAGATGTAAAATACATATCTTAGTCGGAAAATATAAATAAAAACCGAAATTTACATTTTTTAAATATTTTTTAATGTTGGGTCCCACAAATCAAAGAGAAAAAATTAAATAGATATCAAATGTACATTTCTTCCATTGGAGTAGAACTCACATTTACATCTTACGAAAATATAAATGAGATGTAAATATAGTTTTTGCATCTCTCTGTTGGAGATGCTTTGTGGAGCTAATTATGATCTAAAACAAGTGCCTGACTACTCTATTTAATTACCATGAAACTTACACATTCGGATTCAACTAGTGTAAAATAGTGAAGCTAATTAATGTACTGAAAAACCACTAGTAGTTTGAATTGATACAAGTCTTTTCAAATCCTTGTCACACACTGAAACAAGCCAAACTGAACCTGTTTGGGTTATTTTTTAACATTGGGCTTAATGATAATAAGGCCCGAGGGTGTCACAGCAAAATGGGGACTTGCCCGAAGCCCAGCCAAGAGGCCTGAAGCAAATTGAAGCCATTTCAACTAAAGCATAGGCCATGTGCTTATAATTGAAGTGATAGTTGACAGAGACCAAATCACCACCAGCCCAAAAAGCACTTTCTAATGACATGAAGGTGTAAATACAAGATGACTCACTGCCCCTGAAAGCCCTCGGCCAAGAACAAAGTCAAAGTAATAGGGCCAAATTGTCTATAAAAGAAGAAAGAGACATCAAAGATAAGGTCACTCAACCAACCAATCAAAAGATATACAAACTCTACTCTCAAGCTAGTTCGTACCCAGAAAGCTGAAACTTGTCAAGATTCAGTACTTTTAGCTATAGTTCCCTTAGAAGAGCTATCTTTTGTCTAGTGTAAAAGCCCTGCTACCTTCCCTTAAGTGTTGTAGTATCGATTCCCTTGTGTAAAACTCATTTACCATCCAACCTTTTTAGCTTACAAACTCTGTAAACTCAAAGAGAAGTGACTGCAAGAAGTTCGACCTTGCCCGAGTCTCTTTGTTTGTACTTTTATTTAGTAGATTTGTCACTTAATGTACTTTTCAGCATGTATTCAAGTTATTTCCAACAGTTTTCTACCTAAGAGTGTTATTTGCATTCGAATTTGGTTAACTTAATAAACCTATTTTCATTAAGAACAAATTATGTTCAAGGAAATGGTTAAGAGGGCCCTGAACTCCCTTCATTTTGGACATACAAGATTATGAACTAAAAGAGCTTGTTTACAAGGCAAGAAAAAGAATCTAATGCAGACTTAACCCATCTATGACAATCCTTTGATAACAAGAAGTTTAAGTAACTTAGGGTGCAAGTAATCAACTTAAATCACACCTATTCAACATCTGTTATACTGAGATAACAGTGGCATGCCTAGATCCTTGTTAGCTTTGATTGCGAGCCTCAAGGCCTACACCAAAACCCCTACAAAGGCACCTTTCAAACTAACTATGAACTCTTCTTGCAGCGCACCAAGCAGCAAGTGCAAGCCCGACTACACCCCAAGTGCCAAACCCCTAGGGAGCTATGCGAGGGAAATCCTTACCCGAACAGAACCTTATTTACCTTGTTGGCTACTCCGCTTGTAAATGGAGTATACGAGTCTCTGGCGATAAATAGGGACGTCCATCACTCAGTTCACTGGCTAAATCGGGGGAAGAAGAAAGCTGTGTGCCGTAAATAGGGCCGTCGATCACTCAGTTCACTCACTAAATCGAGGAAGAAGAAAACTGTGTGCCCTATCTTTTCCTACCAATTTACTGTCGGTCCCATGCACCCTAAGCTGGGGGTACTTTTACCCCTAATTACGTAGAAGTTACATGCATTGGGTTTGCAGTGAGCTATGTTTTAAATTTCCCCACTCTCCTTATACTAAACGGAAGATCTTCAACTTTTATTTCCTTTGGGTGATTGGGTCCCTTGAGAAAAAACCCAATCCCACCATAACTGTTCTTTTATGTTCATCCACGATGAAAAGCTGAAGTGGCTAGGACTCAAATTATTGCTTGGAGTTATAAAGTTGAAGTGACTAGGGCTCAAATTATTGCGTGGAGTTATAAGATAGGAGAGAAGATATGACAAATATGAGCGAACATAGCAGTACTCAAACATAATTATATGCTTAAAGTTAAAGATCTTCCTGCCATGGTTGCATAATTATCTATTGGGATTATGATTAAAACATTCATTATCGTCTCCACTTTGTTAGTTGTTAGAATATTACGACCATCAACTCATAATACAAATGTATAGGAAACTAATCATCTAGAAAATCATCATGAGATCATTATCAAATCGGTGTTCTAAATTCTGATGGACCTTTTACCATATGGAGAAGAGAGGCAAATCTCACTTACCCATTAGTATACTAACTTAACATTGGTTGCTTTTCAATATAATTTCTTTCAGCTTTTCAATTAACTAATCCACTTCAACTTGTTGCTCATGGTCTCTAATTATGAACTAAAGCGATGGTTTGCACTTTGGATTCATGTGATGTGAAGGAAAGAATGATCACTACAAGAAGCTCTCTATAAAATTTTGTCCATGGGAGCCTTAAAGCGTTTTGTGCATTAAATTAAAAACCCAACGTGAAAATTGGTGTGGTAAAGAAGGAAAGAAGTAGTGCATGTGATGGATAGTGATCTATCTTCCTTCCATATTTTTATATTTTTTATTTAACTTAATAAAGAGCAACAAAATAAAGAATAGGGTTTTTTTTTTTTTTCTACAAGTTAGTACCATTTCTTTGATACTTAATTCCAAGGGAGTTTCTGCATATTTATGGGCTTAATCTATTCTAAGTATACTAGAAATCGTATAAGAACTTGTTATAATTGGATTTATTGGATTGTTTCATCTATGGTGTTGGGTCATAATAACTTTCTAACTTTGCACCAATGATTCTCCTATTATTTTATTAGTGAATAATAATTACATAATTTTTTCATAAAGATAGATTTCATAATTCACATGGATATAAAATCTCACTTGGTCTGCTTTATTAGTAGTCTTTATGTTTTCCCTTTCACCAGTAGTTTGGGAAAGGAGTGGACTCTACTACGAATTGAGTTTAAGAACTAAACAATATCAATTTTTTTTTATAGAGCGTTTGGCAAAGTTTTTTTTTTTTTAAATTTAAAATTTCACTATTTAAAATTTTATTTTCAAAATGAAAAATATCTTCATTTCGAAATTCTCTTGGCTTTTAGTTGAGTAATGTATTCTATGAAGAATACTCTTTCAATCAAAGAAATATATATCAATGATACAAGTCAGATTTTAGATGTAGAAATATAAGAAGGTGGATCCCTTCTCCATGGAAAGACATGGCAT